TGCACTCAGATTTTGCCTTAAATAGCCTTTAGAACCTTACCCTGCAGAGAGTTGAAAAAATGCTAGTGTGTTGTTGTTGTTGTTGTTGTTGTTGTTTTGCTCCTTCTGGGCATGAACTTACACTCATTTTGTACTTTCTGCATCTAATCCAGTTCTGGTCTAAAGTTGCTGCTCAGTAAATACATATTGAGTGATTCATAAGAAAAACAATCAATAAGTACTCTTAATAATAGCCATCCCTGAGAATCTCAGATATCCTTATTATCTTGTGGAGTCTCTCGTAAACCATAATAAACTGAAGCTCCAATGAGGTCTGACAGCTTTCCTATTAAAAAAGAATTCTGCATGATTATCTCTATGATAAAACTTTATCTTTTCTGTGAGAAAATCATTACTTTTAATACCGGCTCAATTTAGTTAGCTCTAAATCGATAGGACAATGTTTCCCCTAGAAGAATGAATTTACCTCTGGTTCTCTCCCCATCTTCTTTCTAATTTCTTTCACGTCATTGTGGTACTGTTGGCGTATTTCCTCTAACTGCTTCCAATATTCCTGGAAAGCAAACCCAATCCAGAAACTTTAAATGTTTATGAACACCATAACCAAAATAATATTTATGCAGCCTACAATTTCAAAAGTGTGTAATATAAAATAAGGTTAGAAAAATATGTTGCTCCTAAAGATGATAATCTGTCTTATGTTTTGGCTCTGGTACTTCACACCCTGTGAGACAGTAGCTTCAGCTACAAAGCTCAATTTTATATACAACCCAAATGTGTTCATGACGTACACTGACTTTATAAATCCCACTTTTATATATAACCCTCTTACGCACTGAACTTTGTCTCTCCCCAAAAAGAAATATGTTGAAGTCCTAATCCCCAGTGCCTAAGAATGTGATCCCATTTGAAAACGGGGTCACTGCAGATGAGACTAGTTAAGGTGAGATCATACTGGTGGGCCCTTAGTTCAATATGACTGGTGTCCTTGCAAGTAGATGGCCATGTGAAGACGGACACACAGGAAGAACAGCATGTGATACAGGCAGAGAATGGAGTGATGTGACTGCAAGTAAAGGAATGCCAAAGACTGCCAGCGACACACCAGAAGCTGGGAAGAGGCAAGGAAGGATTCCCCTACAGGTTTCAGAGGGTACTTGGTACTGCTGGCACCTTGATTTTGGATTTCCACTCTCCCAGAATTATGAGACAATACATTTCTATTGTGTTAAGCCACCTAGTTTGTTGAACTCTGTTACAGCAGCCCAGGAAACTAATACAAATCCCAAATCTGTTAATGAGGGACAGTTACTCTGTGAATCGCAAGGTGAAAAGCTGTATGAACTTAGCCATATTGCATTATCTGAAAAAGTGAAATACCTAACTCTGTATCCCCTGTAACACTCAGCATGGTGTTGACATATTCAGGGGCACTGTAGGAAACAGAAGTAACTTCCTATTACAGTACAAAAGACAGTAATACAAAGAAATACAAGGGTAGCCCTGGAATTAACGTTTTTAACCTGTTCCTTCATTTCGTTTTTCCTAAATGGCCACTCCTGGAATCTAGGCTCTTCTCCATTACTTCTTAGCTCTTGTCTCTGGTTGTGATTTGGCTCGGCAGAAGATGGACGAAGACCCTATTTATTGAATGAAATAATTTATAAAGCATACTTTGATTTCAGAAACATCTTCATCTTCTGATTTGACCTTGACTTTTTCCTATAAGTAAGAATTATATCACTAAGCAAACTCAGTATTTGGGAGTTTTTTTGTAGTAAGTAGTAGAATTTTCTTAAGTATAAAACATTAAAACATATATATGTATTTTTCTGTGTGAGAGAGTCTCACTCTGTCACCCAGGCTGGAGTACAGGGGCATGATCTTGCCTCACTGCAGCCTCCAACTCCTGGGCTCATGCAATTGTCCTGCCTCAGCCTGAGTAGCTGCGACAACAAGCACATGCTGCCACGTCTGGCTAATTTTAAAATTTTTGGTAGAGATAAGGTCTCACTATGCTGCCAGGCTGGTTTTGAATTCCTGAGCTCAAGTGATCCTCCTGCCTCAGCCTTCCAAAGTGATTGGATTACAGGTGTGAGCCACTGTGCCACGCACATAGTAAACAATTTTAAAAAATTAATTCAATCATTTATATAATTTATTCTAAATGATCCATATGTTATGCTACCATTTGAGATATGTAGATTTATTTTTGGAATTGGTAACATAACTGTGATATCAAAGGTTTGTAAAGGGTTAGCAACCCCAGAGCATGAATTATGTAGGGGAATAGAACTATAGGTTTTCAACGGTTCAAAACAAGAGTGATACAAATAGGGTGCAAATCCCGCCTCTCTCAGCCCCAGAATTCTGACAGTATTTAAGGGTAAAGGTTAACTTTCATTTCAAATAAAGTACAACAGTCACCTTTTTTTTTT